TCTAACTCATCATTAGTCAAATGTTAATTATTTATAATTATTACAAAGAAATGTGCTTTTTTGTATTAATAAACGCAAAAATATTAAAATCATTTATTCATAATATGTTTCAAACGTCGAATAAAAGGCTAATAATTTATTTATATTTAATTTATAGCATTCCGTCTAATAAATGTGTCAAAAAGACAATGGACCTTTTTATAATTACTATAATAAATATGGAATATATTATAAATAAAGATTTGTTGCCAAAATACGTATAAAATTACTTTTTTTTATTACAGAATTGATTTCTATTATATTATTATTTGCCTGAATTTAATAGATTTTGTGAATAAATAAAGAAATAGAGGGAAAATAATTAGAGGCAATAGCTGTCAGTGAATGTCATTTGAGATGAAATGATGGAATTCAAGGGTTTGCAGAAATATATGGCTCTCAATAAGTATGGCTTTCAATGGATCCACACATTAGTCTTTCTCACTAAAGATATTTGCCTTCAAATTGATTCATGAGAGAGAGAGAGAGAAAGAGAGAGAGAGAGAGAGAGAGAGAGAGCTCAGGGGTTGGCATCACTTGAGATGAGACTATCAAAACAAACGACTGAATACACAAACTTTAATTCTAATATGTTTTCAAATTCAATAACTAGTAAAATGACTGATGATTTATGGTTCAATTCAAATCGTATTATAGCTCGTAAAAAATATTTGAATATCAATGTTATGGTTATACGCATATATAGCGTATATATGAATATTTAAAATGTATTTCAGGTCTATATTAAGACATGTTTTTATATTCAAATCAGTCGCGTCTTATGTTTCTGACATCTCTGTACACTCGCATCTCATCTCATATTTAATTAACTCAAAACATAATTATTAAGTCAATTATTATGATTACTCTTTGACTACATTATAAAGAAAAATGACTCGTGAGTCGAAAATAATAAACAAAATAATTAGATGTACTCAGTATATCTTTTTATAAAAAGATTAAATATACTGTATTTTAATATAATAACTTATTACACAATCTGGTTTACTTTTACTAGGTTTGCTTAAAATATACAATTTTTATCATCACTTTTCCACAATAAGCCTAATTTGAATATAATCTCCCTTTAACACTATACAGTACTTGTTGTGAATTAGTTTTCATAACTATTAATAGAAAAAAGTTTTATCCAACAAAAAGTTTGTGATTTATCGATATATTTGCAAAATCATTGTTATCTCTCATCTATAATGCATTTTGTGCATGTTGTACATGATACACTGTTTTTATATAATATAATGCAATACATTACTAGTAAGCAAATTGCTTAAAGCAATTAAACAATTGGTGTTGATGTTTTATCATGTACTCGATAATAGAGTTAATTAAATCTTTATATATTTTTTTTGTAGATTTTTCATTATATTTTCTGTGATAGAGTGGAAATAATATTTAAAGTTAGTTTATAATACTATGATATAAATAATATAATAATAAATTATATAACTAAAATTATTTTATAATCTATTTATTAATCCTTTAAGAATCAAGATACTGTATATTAAGTAAGCCTGATACCAGTATACATGTATATGGGATTTTTGTTAATACCAGTACTTATAATAAATTTTCAATTGTAATTCAAAACTAACCCTAAATAAAAATTTTAAATACTGAAATGATTTGCCATGAATATAAATTGCATTCATAATTTAATTATTGTTAACATTTGAACAGTAATTTAAAATGAAATTTCGCAACTGATATACAAACTGAACTGTACAGTACATTAACTTAAATATTTAAAATATTTCAAATATTGTTATAAGAAAAGAAGTCAACAATTTCAAGTGCAAGTGAACTGGTAATAATCCTTGAAGTCTTTCACAATCTTAAATATATACCTGATTAGGTTATGGTAAGTAGCATCATACTGGACAAATTATGTGGACATATTTGTATTTTGAATTAAATATTTATAAATGTTTTAAATTAATTACGAGTATAAATCATTTATAGATTTAAAAACAATTAAAGAGATTTATAGTAAAGCTGACAATATTTTACAATTAAACAGTATTTGTGATTATTCATAGATATAAATAAATGTATTTTTAAGACATAATGTAAATAGACATAAATTCTGTGAAATAATGTAATGGTGCTTTTAAAAAATATTTCAAGATAATTAGGTTTGTTTGCAAAAAGTATTCAAATTTGGAAATACTTTAGGCAACAAATGTATCACGATAGAAGTGTATTAGAATTACATGAATGTTATGCAATCAATATTAAACTCATTGAATAGGATTTTGATGAAAATAATTGAGACAATGATAAGTTTGTCTTGTCTTTGACTACAATCCTCGGCTCATGGACTGAGTCACGTGCTTATCGATGACAACCTATGGTTTGACTCTTCATATGACAGTTGCGTTCACTAATGAACACAATATTGGATTATATGGTCGACCGGATCAGTCCATCAATTGACTTATTCCGTAGAGAACTGCCATTAATTAATCTCTACAACAATTATTTTGAAGACATGAATCCAGATATTATTATACAGTATTTGACTGAATTTTAATGTAATCATTGTTTTATAATTAATATTTATGCCCTTGCTAATAAACAGTATACAAATTGTTAATTAGTCCAATGGTTTGAATGAGTGCTTAAAATGTGTTAAAATATTTACTTTCAGTTCATTTGTAAGAAAAAACGTTTAATTAATGTAAGTCTTGATTACTTGTTAATTAGACTAATTTCTCCAAATTATATAACATTTTATTACATTTACAACATATATAACTATTAATAGTATTAGGTGACAGTCATTTGCCGTACATAATCAGTCCATACAATTAGTATTATTATATTAGGTTATACGGCACAGTATAATACCCCTATATAAATTAATATAAATTTATTGCATTACTTAAAATCAAATTATTAATAATCATAAGTATGTAAAATTCCTTACGGAATATTATATGAAACTTATTTCAAGAATTTTGTCATTAAAAAAGTGATGGCAAGTCATGCATATATTATTGAAAAACAAAACACTTGAATATTGTTTTTAAAAACTAATGTTATAATAATTTAATAGCCATGAATATATATATACAGTAGAATATAAAGGATTTATTCATAAAAATCCATGAGAAATTAAACATTTGTTATGTTTTACATTTAACATTTATATTGAAATATACAGTAATACAAGAATATACAGTACATTCTTTAAATTTTAAAATAATAGTATTACTAATAAAGTTGTTTTTAAAAGTAGACTTCTATTTTAAATTATAACTTGTTATTCACATTTCACATAGTTATAATATAAAATTCACATAATATAAAAATTCTATTCTAATCTAAATACTAGAAAATCATTAATTATTAAACATAAACTAAAATTTTGTTGTATATTATTATACACAGATTGTTTGTTTGATTTTGGCAAAATTAAACATTCATTTTAATGAATATTTAAGTATAGTACAATACATACAATATAAATATATTACATGTATTGTGCATAACTGGTAATTACAATTTTTAGTTTCGCAATCAACATAAAGTAAACATATTTTGAAAAGAAATAAATTGTTTGCTTTTAATGTTTTGCTATGATATGACTTAAATAAAGTCTGAAATATTATCAAATAAAATAAAATTTATAATTAAAATTATGATTATAATGAGTAAACTTATATTTTTGTGGATTTTAACTTTTATATTAAAGCCAGAATTATTATATACTGGTAAATGTGTTTGTTTGAGTCCATAGTTTTAAATGTTTAAATTCACGACAATATATTATACTTTTTAAATTTGAGTTTAATTTATTTTATAAATGATTTATTAAAGATTTATTTACAAAATATAATATGACTTTAAATATGAATTATGAGAATATTTAAGAATATAATAAAAATTATATTTATTTTTATTTTTTATATTGTCCTTTTTTATTAGCCTAAAACATAACTATTATGTATAATAATAATTTATAACAATTTTAAATATTGTATAAAATATCATGTGTATTATTTATAGCAAAAATGTTTTATAATAAAAATATATGAAAATTAATGAAAATATTTAGAAATGATGATCACTTTCTTAATATTTATCAATATTACCAACACTTAATTATATTATTTTTATAAAATTGAATGTTTTAGTTTTAAATTAATACTTTATAATTTATACAAACTCTACTAATTAAAGTAAGTAATATATCATGTAAGTGAGTTAAATTTATTTAAAAAATATAAATATTTTAAAAATTAATTCCGATGTGTTTTACATATAATTTAAATTCCTTCATATTTAGTAATTATAAATTCACTAATCTCATTTTTACTAATTCTTTATAATTAATAAGAATATTCCCTTGAAATAAAATTTAAAAATTAATTTATCATTAATTTTAAGTAATAAAACTTGTATTACAATATTGGATTTCCACGTAATATTTAAAAATAATTTTATACAGCAATAGTCAGCCTATACTGTATAAAATTATGGCATAATATTTTATTTTAAGGGAATTGAACCGTAATTAAAATAATGATATTTAGATATTATAAGAAAAATGCAGTTTTATTCACAAGACATCCATTACACTATATAATCATTAAAAGCTTTTTCATTATTATATCGATTCAAATAATCTCATGACTAGTCTTTTATTTGCATTTAGATTTAAAACATATTTTGCTAATATTTTGCAAAGAAAATTAATATTGTTTTATATTATTAACCGAGTGTTAAGTCTTTTTTATTTAGTTTTTTAAGTAAATCTCACAAATGGGTTGACAAATCTTTCTAAAAATACTTTAATGATTTCAAAACTATTTAGTCAAATCAAGTTTAATGTACAGGTTTAATGAAAATGCTTTTATAAAGTAATTAAAACTTAATAATAAATTAAATAATTTATAAAAATAAATTAAATGTCAAACGGTTAGAGAAAATGTCACATCTTATGGCAAATCATTGACGTAATCATCAGTACTGAGGTCTGGATCTTCAGTACTAGTCCTGTGTTGACCACAATTGTTGACAAAGTTATGTCTGCATTGGGTGTACAAGAACTGGATCTCTGAAATGGCGACCAAACCCTCATTCGGGGGTCTGTTATCGAAATGAGTTTCGATGAAAAAACGCGGCGAACCGTACGTCAGATCAATACTAAGAGACAATTTGCGCCACTCTTGCGGTGGTGTCTCAACACCCGATGAGTGGTCTGATCCTTGGCTCCAAAGACATCGATTTTCCTTTTCTTGTTGCCATACAATCATGTCTTTCACGCCTTTCCCTCTTATCACGTAATCAATGGTTAGACAGCCTTTTGGTATAAATCGTGACATTTAGTAGAAATAAAATGAGAAAATAAACAGTTTTCATATGATTCCGGTTGACATCAAAAATGTTTTCATAAAACATATTAAAAACCATTTTTATATAAATATATAGCGAATGACGGATACCTTGAGGGGAATGTCTGGTCTCGAAGTAAGGAGTGATGAGTCGCGCACCGGAAGACAATGGCTTAATGTCTGTAATATTGAGCAAAAGATAATGTCTTTTGCCTAAAAGAGGTCTCATTTGATTGGTTTTGAGTACGAAATACGAGCCCACGATCTGGTCGTTAGTGATCCCGCAGTCGTGGCCATCGAACCCACAGCTCCAGACCGGGGCACTGGTAGGTCCTACAGGAGCCGGGGGTCTGGATGTAGTGGACGACCTAAAGGATACTTCGGGTTTATTGGGATCAATGATCTCGTATTCGGGCTCATCTTCGGGCCAATCACGGGATGACACCTGTCTTCGTAAGCATTGGCTGCCAATTGATCCCACAATTAATATCAATACACATGTCATCCATGAACTCATTGTCAGCAGTATCTCTAAATGTCCACAATTTTAGTCATATATTGTATTTAAAAAATATTTTTTTGGTGAATCACTTCATTGACAGGAAATTAAGAAATTAATTCAAATACTTGTCAATGGATTGTGAGTTTAATTGACATTTTCATGAGTTGTCACCAAAAAGTGTAATAAAAGCTGAAAAACGACAGAATTTATGCATTTTTAGTGTTCACTCTCTAATCGATATGAAAATCAAATGAATACTCGTTTCGCACAAACATTCCTGAGGTATGAAAAACTGGTCGTTTGAGTGGCATTTCCTCCTGAATTACACTATACTTCCACAGACTTTACGATACTTTGAATACCTTTTATTTTTTGCATTTTTCTTAGTTTTCTCGCAATTTATTGCGAATATGAGTCATAATATTTTTAGTGTAAACAAATGGTTGTCATATCGTGAATGTCATATCAATGGCTTACGGTTTAAGATGTGTTGTGATAAAAGTCAATTATTTTATGTATACTTTATTACAAATACTGTACTTGTACTTAATAGGTAAATTTTAACTGTTTACAAATCATGCAAACACCTAATTATCGATTAATTAGCGAATATGAATACATTTGATAACATATTGTATGATATGTTTTATAAAAATTGACTCGTTTTTTAATAAATTTTATTTTATAATTCATTATTATTATATAAAAGTGTAATTAAATGAAATAGTTAATAACAGGTTAGGATATTAGCATTAATAAAATATATGAATGTCCACGAAGATTTTATGTTTTATATACTTTAAATCTAATTTGACAACCTTTAAACTTTTATAAGTGTAATCGTTAATTTCGAGATATACTACAACAAAAGTATTATCTAACTCTTAAACTATGTCATTTAAGAATTTATAAACCGATATATAATACCAGTATTGACTTAGCTTTCATATAACTGTTTGCCATCAAATAAAAACACATTTGCGGTCACAGTAGTAGTCTATTTATAAAAATACAATAACTCACACAATCTTGAACATTTTATTTATTTCGAAAGATTTACTTTTAAATGAAAAATAAATGTTTAAAAAGATATTGATTTAAAATCAAAAACAAACTTTTATTATTGAAATAAATTGTTTCTTAACAGAAATAGTAATTTATCATTTATTTGGCTAAATATTATTTAAAATAAAATATAATACTATTATTAAATCACATTATGATTGATATTCTCAATAATAAAATAGCTATCAATCGGCTATACATCTAATC